TCGATAGAGATAAAAGAAAACCAGCCATTTTCGTAAAGAGCTATCGATATGTTCTTCACAGTTAGTGATATTTACTGAATATTACTGATAACGAAAACTAAAATCTGCTATCATTTCAGAAAATTTACATAATACTTGATAAGCAGCTTCAGTGAAAGTAAATCAGGGATTGTTATACAGTTATACATTAATAACAGATAGCGTTGGTGACTCGGAGCTCCTCGCAGAGAAAGAGAAAGAGAAAGAGAAAGAGAAAGAGAAAGAGAAAGAGAAAGAGAAAGAGAAAGAGAAAGAGAAAGAGAAAGAGAAAGAGAAAGAGAAAGAGAAAGAGAAAGACAAAGAGAAAGACAAAGAGAAAGACAAAGACAAAGAGAAAGAGAAAGATTGTTATACATTAATAACAGATAGTTTCACAGAAACTGCAACTCCACCCATTTCTCAACGGGAGCTAAAGTTGTGTCCGAAACAATTTATTGAAGCTGAACACGACAGCGCGTTGGCATGATTAACCAATAGAGTAATTTCATAAATGACTCTGCAAAACTGTATAATATGTAGTGTTATTAACCTGAAATTCTACCCGGGGACCAGGTTGTAAGAGCTTAAGAGACGAGCTGTCACAATTTGCCAGTTCTCTTGAGATGCGGCTAAATGCCATGTTAGAGTTTTAAATACTATGTGGTTATTCTATATTCAAGCACTGGAATTAACGCGTGACACCATTTAGAGCAGTCAAGGAATACAGTGTGTTCCCGGAGTTCTGTTCGAACGTTAACATTACTAGCAGGAACCCGCTCTTCTCAAACACAAGGATATAACTTGTGAACTCGGCTAGTATATATGAAACATTTGTCATGGAGTTGTGGAGGGAGTTATGTGCCTCGCCGGGCTAAAGTAGTGGATGACCTTGCTGTACGGCAAGTTAAACAAGGATCTGAAACTACTAGGTTCCGTACAGACTCAACTCTGCACCCGTGTCAATATGTTCATTATATGCAAGCCTCTTGATTTATAACCCTAAAATGGTGTCGAGACTCAAGAGACTAAAATAATTATTACTTATTTAATTCGCGTTTTTGACACCACTTGGTGGTCCAAATTTTGGGCTCTAAAACTCCTATTTCTTGGCCAATTTTTTATTTTTTCATGCTGATTTGGAGGCCATTGAAGCATTTGACCCAGTCAGTTTCAGTTGTATATCTTTTACGATTTCTGCGGAAATTCGCGTTAAAGTTGATGCCGTGGTGTCAGTAAAATGGCACGGATAAATATATATATATCGTCTCGCTTTATATATAGTAAGATGTTCAGTGAAGGGGGCTCAGCAGTTTGATAGAGGTGGATCACAAGAGTATTATACCCAACATTGACCGGCTAACTGATAGTTACTTAAGAAGCAATGAAACTACGATCTTCTAGATAAAATGAGTCATAGTACTTTCAGCCGGAACCATCATAAGTGACATAAATCTAAAAGATAGTATGGTTAGTTTCTAAATATAAACTCAAACTCTGAAAAGGAAACTGCTGTGAAATATGAAACATCAATAAAAGGACCAGTTCTACGCATAATAGATCAGGATACTCAAGGAAGGTGGCAGTGATTACATTGACCAATCAAATTCCAGGATCAATGTCACGTGCTAAAATATATATAGTATCCAGATATATTATTCGCGTAATCTTGGTAACATGCCAAGATAAAAGTTCCAACTTTCACTGCCGAAGAGAGGGTTGATAGTCGCAGTGAGCTGATGTATAATTGTTCTAGAAATATTTGTGATTTGTTGCTCGTTTTTGTGAGGCTACCTCCTTCACCTTGTGATAGTCATAGCAATACATAAGGTGATTAGAGATACACGCACGTCATACATTTGTATCGGTAGTGATTATGGAGATGCAGATAAGCTGGAGGTAAATGTAGAGGTAAATGGAGTGGTAAATGTAGTGATCGGTTACAACTACGAAGAAATAATAAGCAAAAAATGGTCCAACACTCCATAAAGTTTGGCTGAGAAAACTCACAAGAAAACGAATAAAAAACTGCCACAATAAAACAAAATACATGATGCACAGTAAGCAACATGTAGCAGTATGTGGCAACTAATGCTGCTGCTTGGTTAGATCATTAGAGCAATTTATTAGCAGCATAATCAGCAAATATTAATGATTTACCCTGGTAAATATTAGATATTACTAAATATTACAAATACTTCTTAATTCGATGGGTTACAACAATGCTTGTTTGAAATTTAAAAATTGCAGAGCACGGACAGATAAAAGGAATAAAAAATAAAAAGCGCCCAAAATTCAATCAACAAGAGCGCAAACAAGGTTCTCGAATTTCAGCTGAAGACTAATTAAATCTTATTGGGAAATATAGCAAATATATATAGCAAATTAACAGAGGGAGTGTAGTCACCAAATATTAATTCAGTAAACAGGGCGAGCATAATATATAACGAAATTAAATACATGAATTACTGCATCACATATTTAATGTTATAAAAATTGCTAGAATAATATGATGAAGAGTTCCCCACGCGTTGACGCTAAAACACTGATACTCCAAAACAAAACTAGTAACTAAATTTGCAATCTAGTATCTATAATAACCAACGTCCATATTCAGACAAATGAAACAAACTGAAGTCTGTAAAACAGGTTACTTACTTACTTTAACACAGTAGTGCACTTCTATACACTATCTAATTATACACTATCTAATTATACACTCCTATAAGATCGTCGGAAACGCTTTAAAAAGCTGATCGAGAATAGTTTATAAATGAACAGCTGCAGCCGTGCGTAATACATCAGATGAGATTGTACATGGTAATTGTGAAATGACCGCCCATGCATGCACAGTACATAGAGTACAGACAGTACCAGTAAAATGTACACTAAGTGGATAAAATCACACGTGTGTACAGTGTACACGAATTAGTGGTTCAAACTTCAAAACTCCTTGTTACTCCTTTACAATACAGTTCATCAACAATATATACTTAGAGTGATTAGAGATCGCATAAACCTTGAAATATACATTATAAAGATAACAAGTATAATCGCATACAGATAAACCCAGCAATCTGATAAACTGAACTCGAGCAGGTACACTCTGCTACTAGAGTAAGTTAAACCGCTGAATTAGACTATCATCCTAGACAATTACAAGCAACTCAACTCAACCTTAATTACAAATTACAAATTACAGCTATGTTCAACTACAAATCAGCAAGTACAACCCTCCACCAAACACTATAACACACGGGCACGCTGTGTAAGGCAGCTCCCACTGCTACACACAGTTATCTTATAGACAGCGTTATGTGTACCTCCACAGTAAGAGTAACGACCCAGGACCTTGAGCTAATCAGGGAACAATATAGGGCAGTAATCAGCCAATGGGAGAGGGGTATTGTGGTCGGGGACCAATCAGAGTACAGAAGTAGGGTCACATGAACCAATCAGAGGGCAGAAGTAGGGTCACAGGGATGAGGACTAAAGAAAAAGGGGTGCTCTGAAATTTAATACATGGCGATTGGTGACTGGAACTACTGCTACAATAGTTACGTCATTTGAATGTCTTCAGAAGAGACGTTGGTGTCTTTTAGACAAGATTAGCACAGGTGACCTTTATATGCTGACGAGCAAATACGATTCATAAAACGGAAAGGGCGAGACTTGATATTAAGGGATTAGAAGCAAAAGTGAGATTAAAACAAGATAAAATGAAAACAAAAAAACAATATAAAACGCGAGAATTAGTGCGAGATCTGTTGACAGAATTAAAAAACAAAGTGCACGGCCGTCTCCCCCCTAGCAGCCACACTATGTCTCAAGACTGTGGAGTGTGAAGGAATAGGTAATGGTACTATTACTGAATGTGATGCAAGAGATCCTAATGTGGCATTGTATGGGATCCCATAGACTACATATTGCACACTTTACACACATGTGTGTGGGACATTATAATCACTACGTTATAAACTGCGTTATAAACTACGTTATAAACACTACGTTATAAACTACATTATAAACATGTACGTTTAGAGGATTCGTCACACGTTAGACGGAGGATTACTACACAGAAATGAATAAGAACATTTGTCTCCTAATGAACTTACTTTCAACAAACCAGGTCAAAACTCACAAATAACATAAAAATGGGCGCAAAATATAAGACTAACTATAAAGACTATAAATATACCAAGACTTAGAACTATAAATCATCAGTCAACACTGAGACCAGGTGTGGGGAGCCCTGTGCGTGTTTCTCACCCAAACACCCGGAGGAATCTATAAAACTACAAGACGATCCTTTTACTTTTTAGAATATAGTCTGATGGAGACTGCAGAGAGTGGAACATGATGCAGTGATGTAATTAGTAACTACTCATGTAATTTGCGATGATATTTGTTTGAATTTTGGACAAAGTATCAATGAGGAAGCCAGTGCCGATATGTCTGAAACATTCGATAGCAAGATTCTCTGACGTCCATTCAAGACTAATAATGTTCATTTAACAGATGAAATGCCTTGCATATTCGTCTATCCTCCTTTCAAAATGTTCACATGCTGGAAGCATATCACTAAACAATAAACTTTCCTCAGAAATCCTCAACAAAAGCGGCCAGTAGCTCCAGGAAAAGTCTGTAGTCTTGAGGGTGATCTTAGTACAAGGTCACTGATCGTTGAAATTATATCCGATGTCAATAATACCATTTGCTGTGGATCTGCTCACACTCAAGGGTCAGGGAACCACACCATTTAGTGGAGATGATGTCAGGATATTGTGCCACCTTGACGTCAATAATCAAATTCATTGACTCAAAAAGGACGCCGTGGGATAATAAAGTTCGTAGGTTAAATACCATCGTTTGTTGCTAGTTAATATAGAATAAGACTGGACAATTAAAGGCCAGGAGGATCGTTGTTATCCTAAGTGAAGTATAAAGTAAGACAATTTCGGCAATTCAAGTGGACTGATCGAGCCATGAGTTACCTGCCTAGCTACAAGACCAGGGAGGGAAGAGGGAGTGTAACTCACCCTGACGGTGGAGGTGGTGGTAGAGAACAGAGCTACAAGACCAGGGAGGGAAGAGGGAGTGTAACTCACCCTGATGGTGGAGATGCTAATAGAGAACAGAGCTACAAGACCAGGGAGGGAAGAGGGAGTGTAACTCACCCTGACGGTGGAGGTGGTGGTAGAGAACAGAGCTACAAGACCAGGGAGGGAAGAGGGAGTGTAACTCACCCTGATGGTGGAGATGCTAATAGAGAACAGAGCTACAAGACCAGGGAGGGAAGGGGGAGTGTAACTCACCCTGACGGTGGAGGTGGTGGTAGAGAACAGAGCTACAAGACCAGGGAGGGAAGAGGGAGTGTAACTCACCCTGACGGTGGAGGTGGTGGTAGAGAACAGAGCTACAAGACCAGGGAGGGAAGAGGGAGTGTAACTCACCCTGATGGTGGAGATGCTAATAGAGAACAGAGCTACAAGACCAGGGAGGGAAGAGGGAGTGTAACTCACCCTGACGGTGGAAGTGGTGGTAGAGAACAGAGCTACAAGACCAGGGAGGGAAGAGGGAGTGTAACTCACCCTGACGGTGGAGGTGGTGGTAGAGAACAGAGCTACAAGACCAGGGAGGGAAGAAGGAGTGTAACTCACCCTGACGGTGGAGGTGGTGGTAGAGAACAGAGCTACAAGACCAGGGAGGGAAGAGGGAGTGTAACTCACCCTGACGGTGGAGGTGGTGGTAGAGAACAGAGCTACAAGACCAGGGAGGGAAGAGGGAGTGTAACTCACCCTGATGGTGGAGGTGGTGGTAGAGAACAGAGCTACAAGACCAGGGAGGGAAGAGGGAGTGTAACTCACCCTGATGGTGGAGGTGGTGGTAGAGAACAGAGCTACAAGACCAGGGAGGGAAGAGGGAGTGTAACTCACCCTGATGGTGGAGATGCTAATAGAGAACAGAGCTACAAGACCAGGGAGGGAAGAGGGAGTGTAACTCACCCTGACGGTGGAGGTGGTGGTAGAGAACAGAGCTACAAGACCAGGGAGGGAAGAGGGAGTGTAACTCACCCTGACGGTGGAGGTGGTGGTAGAGAACAGAGCTACAAGACCAGGGAGGGAAGAGGGAGTGTAACTCACCCTGACGGTGGAGGTGGTGGTAGAGAACAGAGCTACAAGACCAGGGAGGGAAGAGGGAGTGTAACTCACCCTGACGGTGGAGGTGGTGGTAGAGAACAGAGCTACAAGACCAGGGAGGGAAGAGGGAGTGTAACTCACCCTGACGGTGGAGGTGGTGGTAGAGAACAGAGCTACAAGACCAGGGAGGGAAGAGGGAGTGTAACTCACCCTGACGGTGGAGGTGGTGGACTAATCACGGATTAACACAGACATGTAACTGAATCAAGTCACGTGACACCAGGGAAATTATCCGGTAATTATGGAATTATTTAGGCACACAAGTTCCAGACAGCAACAAATATGAACATCGAGAGACAAAAGGAGTTTCAAATGGAGTAAAGGCTGCAAAATATATTACAACAAGAGTAAAGGCTGCAAAATTACTTACATCGTGACGAAACGAAAGTGAGACAGAGTATCTACTACCTTGCTCATATGCGATAAAGATATTGTATAAGATGATATAACTATATAATTTACACAATATAGTGCACATATCTGAGCGGCTCTCCTCAAAAAAACTGTCTCTTATCTCTCCTCATTGGAGCAAAAAATTTAAAACAAACACGGGTCTCATAAAAACAAAAAATACCAAATAAGATTAAAGTGATTTCATCACATTAACGGGTGAAGAGTAATGACAATAGTATACATGTGTATTATATAGTGTGTACAATATAATTGATCTTTTTGACACACCGATTAAAACCAACTTATTAAAACCAAAGAAAACCAAAAATAATAAGATACTCGAAAAAAAACAGCACACAAAGACCTAGCCACTAGAAATAGCCCAGCCAAGGCTATAACTGATCATACAAGTAGTTCTTCAACTTACTCTTGAAAGTCACAATATTATCAATGGTCTGCGAATAATCTACAAATACATTACAAAAGACGATATATTAAGAGAGGAAGATGGCAGCGGGAGGGTTACATGTGCTCCTTTATAAATATAAGGGTTATACAACTATGATACGTCATGTACTAGTACAGCGCGGGGTAGGTAGTGAGGTTTCTTACATCACACATCACATATATTACAACAGGAGCATGTATTGCAGTCAGTGAAATAGATCTAGTTATTCTCTATAAATTACTCTTGAAACTATGAAAGAAGTGGTCGGGTTTATATTATTATTACCGTGGAAATAGGAGAGGAAGAGTGATCGATAATGAGTGTGTTATTCAACACGAGCAACAAAAACTGCTACGAGCGAAGCTAATTTGTAACTCATACTTATGTGCGAAATGTAAACGTACTCTAGGTTTAACACGGCTTAAGTCACCTCACAGCGCCTCAACCTTCACATCGCATACTGCAGACCAACGACTTAAACATTTTATATATGCGAATAAATTATATAAACTGTAGGATATATGCGAATATATTCAGTGTGTACACTGTAAAAGATGTAGCACCGCGTGTCACCGATAACAATCTTTCATAGGTTATTATGGTTGTACTAGAGGTAACTATGGTAACTAGAGGTTGAACTATGACCAACAATGTTGGGTCACTATAGCCAACAATGTTAAGTCACTATAACCATTAACCAACAATGTTGGGTCACTGTGACCGTTGAAGTTAAGGTTGAACTTGTAGGTGAGCACGGAAGCAATGAAACTGCAGATTACACTAAAGCTATGTAACCGATATCAGTAGGGTTAACATGAGGTAATGTTATTTAATTTGCAGGGAATCGCGTTGTTAATAATGGCATATTCAGAAACAATGATGTTGATAAGATTTTGCATTTCCGAATGAGTTGGGGCCTGAAAAGTGCCACTCTGTCCCACGATAGTTACCGGCAGTGTGCTCATCATTACATCTTGGAGAGGTCTGACGTAATTGTAAATGTCTCCAGGACGTTGCATCCTAAATCTTCTTGCCCCAGAGCCCCATTCCTCAGTAATGGTAAAGGTAACCGAAACGATACTTAAAGTTAAACCATAGTTGCGAAAAGCTGGCCTTGATTTAGGCCTGCACGAGGCAATAAACTCAACAGAAAGAAACATCATCATACAATAATCCAACAGAAAGGAGACTTGGCACTATGATGCAGACTATAAGGCTCGCAATAAAACCGAGCCTAAACTTCTCCTGATCTAGAACATGCACCACGTGACTAAGACTATATCACGTGACTAAGAATATACCACGTGACTAAGAGTATATCATGTGACTTGGTTGTACTAACTGTAACCTCTAACTCTGCAGGCTACCTACCACCTTTACAAAGCTTTCCATCATACTGACTCTAACTTTACTTAATCTCCTAGATACTGCTCTGCGATTGGCCATTCATGTGATGACGTCACCAAACCATCGGGCACGAGACTAGACGAAGCTGTCTGATTGGTGGATCGACCATGGGTGGTAAAGGTTACAGTTGAGGTCCTGTAATTCTACGTTTATTCAGAAGGGTTCGGGTGTCGCTGTAAATCCTATGCTTAATGGACTGTGCTGGAAAGATGTTTAATAGATATGGATGCTAGCGTGAAAGATAGTTTTTCTAACACGTGACAGCAATTAACCAATCAGTTTCCAGTCTTCACCAAACCCATATTCAGTGTCACGTGTCATGGTTCACCTTCCAACCAGTATTCAACTTGAATTACTGACTATTGAAAGCAAGCTTTTGGGTAGCCGTGTTTTCTCTCTGCGCTTGTTCAAATACTACGAAAGCCAGGCAAGGCCCTAGTGGAAGAGTTTACGCTAGAGTCGTTCCTCTACAATTATACTCAATAGCTACGTGAAAAATTGACTTACAGAGCGGGAGGGGAGAACTTAGAAACGACAAAAAAGTTCCCCAGAAGAGATTTATTTTATGTCTTTGGAGGATAACAAATTATGAAGAGTAGAAAAATCCAAGCAAACGCAGACAAAGCACTTGAACAAACAAATTTGATAGTCGAAACAATTAATTCGTCCGAAACTTCCCCATTCAATCAAGAAATCCACCTCCCCACAACTAGTACGAAGGTAGGCAAATTATACACTGCCTTGTAGAGTAACCTGTATTATATACTATATATCTACTATATATACTATATAATCAACAAATTAAACTTCGCGAAATACCTGGAGACGTGGACAATCACAAAGGAAATCAGGTAAATTGTATTATGTGAGAGGAGTAGGTCGGCGGGGGAGATTGGGCATCGGTTGTCCACTCAGCTGTTGTTTGTCAGCTGCTGCTGGATGGGATTAGCGATGGTGGGACTGTCACGTGACTGTCATGTGACTGGTTGGTATTCTTGACAAAGTCGGGATATAACAGGACTGATGAATCTTGGATATAACGGTTTTTTCACGGTGACAAATTGATCTCGACGCAACTTAGAGCATTATTTACTTTTCTCCTCATCCCTCCTCTATAGGAGCAAGATGTAAGGGCGGCAACATATTCTGAAAAGTGCGATCCTGCACTTAACTATAGTTGCTTAATGTGCGGCGAATATGGCGAATAGTTCGGCTCGAGTGCAGCGATTATTGGCGGAAATTTAGTTAACTGGATTTAGTTAACTGGATCTCTTAATAAGATGCAGTCCTAGACAGCGTGACATATCAGGTAATGATCACATCCCCGTAAACCTGTGGATGATATGATCCATCACATGTTGCATTTGGACACGAATGGAAACACACAATATATAAGGCTTAAATGTAACACTACATCACGAGAGCCCCAAACTATTTGTTATTTATAGGTACGTTAATTGTAATGGGAGCTACAGCCCCTATAAAAGCAAACGAACAACGAAACGGTCACAATATATAATACCAGAGGATGAGAAAGTATATATATATATTTACATATGCAATACTTTCAACCTATAAGGATAGTGAATAATACATGGTACATGACCATACAAAGAGTGTTACAAAGCGATCTCTGGGTGGAGTGTGTACTGTGTATAATAATGTATAAACTCTGGGTGGAGTGTGTACTGTGTATAATAATGTATAAACTCTTGTAATGTTTTAATGTAATAAGTAACAGCTAATCTACAAGCTCATAAATATTCAGTAACCCTGAGTCGCTTCGTCTTGCCCTGCTTAGTCTTTGCTCCAGGGTATTAGGGACCTGGGTACTTGTGGGATGTGAACCATATGTTTGGGCACGTGACAATGATTTGGGGTTCAATGTCACGTGGTGCGCTACACGTAGTCACGTGGTACGCTAGAACACATAAAGTGCACTCCCTTGCCAGTATAACTAGATAAAACAACAGATGTAAGAAACATCAATATCCCGATAAATTTGGAGATACAGAATCAAAAGAATGTACAGCTAGATGGGTAATGCATGCCAAGATGGATATTTAAAATAGAATATAGCAACCGTTTTAAATCTGCTACATTCACAAATAACAGCCATGATGAAGAGAACTAAAAATGCTCGCCGACATCCAATAAGATGGTGAGTTAATGGATTTCACTCTAAATAAAATCGGAGAAAATAGGTCGTTGCCGCATCGACTGAACATAAAACAATATAACACTGTCGCGATTGAAATATAGTACTCGATAACAAAGCAACGCTACGAAGTAAATTTTTATTTTCTATTCAACAATCAACAGGTCTGGATGGGTGATAATTGTTCAACAATCGACTTTATAAAATAAACTATGTAAACTGTGCTAGTTTTACGTGTGAGAAGTTATCCAGTAACTGTGACGAGTGTTAGGTTCTGCCCGTGGTGGACCTATTATAAAGGGATCTATAAATAGGAAGTTTCTATTAATAATATCGAAAGGTAGATAAGAGTGAAACCAAGATATTCTCGGAACAAAGCAGACGCTTATAAAAGATCAGAAAATGAGAAAAAAGAAAGTTGGAGGAAGAATTGGCCATACTATATATATTATATATACCTCAACCTCGTCTCCAAGAATTGAGCTTGATGTCTCCTTAAATATAATAAAAAATGAAACCAACAGAAGATCGTATGACTGAAAATGGCATGACAGTATTTTCTGATAGCCCTCCTGATAGAAGCCCTGACTAAACAAACAAATTGGTGCTTGTTGTTTTATCAGGCCTTGTACAGAACAATGAGGTCACTAAGAAGTGACAAGCTAGGTCTAGGGTGTCATGCTCGGAGAAAGGGGCCTCATCAAGACCGCATCACACATAGTTGAAAGAGTACAAGCTTATAGAAAGTAGCATGAAAACCACAATTCTTCCAAATATGCG